GTGAAAGTCAATGGACTTTACATGGGTTCTGGGGTTATTGAACTCAGGTCCCCAAGCTTGAAAAGCAAGCACTTTAATGACTAAGCTACCACCTTAACCCCTCAATAATTATTTTAAATATTGTTATTGCCACAAATGCTCCAGACTGCACATAACTCATAAGGTTAGTTATATTCTACTATTCAATCTGTCCAAATTCTTGTATTGTATTCCAGAGGGAGCAAAGAGACTGAGACTCCCTGTGTTGAAACACTATGCAGCTTAGTATCTCAATGAACGGGCACCATGATTTGTTGTTTTAATTTCTTACTCTCAGATGTTAACTTGCTCTCCATAATTCACTACTATAGGCATACTAGGGTAATAAATAGAAAATGAAGTTAAAAACCAAAACATTAATAATTATTTCCTGAGAATAAATCCCAAGAAGGGAAATTAATGGATCAAAGAATATGCAAAAACATTTTATATAAAATCTATTCTAGCAATGGATACTTTCAACATACTGTATTTGCCAACTAATCCAGTTTCCCTTAAAAAAAAATTAAAAAAAAAAAAAACTTTGCTGAAAGCATAGAAGATGTTATATTTATAGAAAAATATCCAGGCAGCAAGTAAAGAAGCGTCAGCTTTACTGTGAGCACAAGGACTTAAGAGAGTTGTTAAATGATTGGACAAGAAACAAGAGGTTCATCAAATGATCGTCTTTCAATTTCATCTCAATTTCCTCAATGTATTTTTTTTTAAGTATTAGACAAACCTTACCCTTTCCACCCTCCCAAAAGTTAAGATGGTACCATCTGAAAGTCAAATGCATCCTCGTCCTCTTAGCACTGGGCTGAGAATTTGGCTCTTAGACTAACCAGAGTCACAGTGACTCTTATGGACATGGGGCTATGGAGCTTTGGAAGCAGCAAATGGGCTGCATTTAGCCCACAGACCTGTCATACAATCAAAGGACATTACAGAACCTAACAGAACCATGTATGCTTCCCCACCACCTAGCATCTTTATTAGATAATTGTTCAAGCTTCACTACTAAGTAGTTCCCTGCCTCTCTCCCTAACTCCTGGGATAAGACTGTGCATATGTGGGATTCACATGTGACTTAGGCCCACCACTGCCGTATACATTCCTGGTTTCAATGACTGTTACCAGGGGTACACAGGCACCCAAGCCAAACACTGAAAATGGTCACCATACCACAGCTACCAGGGAAAGTAAAATGTCTATTGAAGAGGGTAGATGTGAAGATTAAACAGGCTCTCTTTACTGGGTGAGTTTCAAATCCAACGCATACAGAACTCAAGAATGAGGCTCTTAGGTGGAAAGCAATACTGAACAATTACAAACTGAGTTTTAACGACATCATCCACACCTGGAATCCAGTGGCTTCAAGAATGGAGATCAAAGTCTAACTTTCATGAATATGCCAGTCAGTAAATTCCCTTTTACATTCCCCAGATATCAGCTTGTATCACAACTGAAAGAGTTCTTACAAAGACACTTAATGCTTCTCAGATCTCCTACTTAGCAGCTCAGAAAGGAAGATCTAATGCTTAGACTTCCTGATTAATGTTCCTGGACCAGCTCACAGGGCCACAATTTCAACCCAATACGTCATGGGTACTCTCAGCTGAACAACAGGAGCAATGATCCCTGGCCCATGAAAGCTGACAAATTCCATTACAACTAGGTGAGCCATTAGGATACTATTTATATAAGATGGCATGACTAACAAGCTAAAAGAACTATCTTAGTCCTCCTCCAAATACACAGTTACAGAGTATTTACTCCTGCCTTCTACTGTAGAAACATTTTCTCTCTCCTTCATGTTCCCAAGGAAGAACCCCTCCTAACATCCAAGCATCAGGTGATGGGATGTAAAGCAAACTCTCCTGGAAGCCTCTGTACAATAATGACATAATCAATCTTCTTCTAGCTCAAAGGTATTTGATCTAAACCACATCCTATGAAACTGAAAAACCAGACAAGACCAGAATTCTTGGTTTCAATTACTATCACCCAAACAATTCCCCTTTGCTAAGAGCCAATTTAGGAAGAATTCGGGTTTCTAAGACAGAGACTAGAAATGCTTGTGGTTTGTCTGTCCTTATTTTACACACACACACACACACACACACACACACACACACACACACACACACACATATCCATATGAGGGTTATATAAAGCTGTGTGTCTATATATACATATATATACATACATATATACACACATGGGTTAAAACTATTTTGCTTTATTTTTATAACATTTATTTTCACAAATGCTTATATGGCACATGGATACATTAACATGCAGAGATAAACATACTTATATCAAGAGAGTCTAACATATGATAGAAAGCAACAAGCAACATGGTACTGCAGGCTTTACAAAGTAAGGCATCTCTTGCTGGACATGGTGGTACATGCTTTTAATCCCAGCACTCAGGAGACAGAGGCTGGTGGATCTCTGTGAGTTCAGGGCTAGCCAAGAATACATAGTGAGACTCTGTCTCAAACAACAAAAACAAAAACAAAAGAGGCTACTCAGTTCTTGTCTATTTCCTGCCTAAATCACCACTACCTAAGCGTCAATGCAATGCTGTCTATTTTAGCTGCCCTGACAGGGCCTATTTTAGGAAAATCCAACATGAGAAAACTCCAAAAAGCAATAGAACCAAAGGCTCTCTCTTCTGGTCATCACTATGTTGGACAACTAAGGGCAGCTACGGACCCAGAATAAATTGTATATGTGAGTGCACACACATTTTGCATCTACTAACAGAGGGTTCATTGAGTTGCATGCAGCTTTCTGAACTGTCATCAGTTTGCATGAACTTCAAGAACCACATCCAATCCTGTCACTCCTGAAGTCCTACTTGTGCCTTCTACAAAGAACAGGACATGCTTTGTATGAAAAATAACTGGGCTTACACATCTCCACAGACACCATGCACCTCATGTTCTCACCTTAAATTTGGGAAAAATCAAAAGAGTGTTTCATACCAGATGTGTCTCAATTCAAATACTGAGATGGACTCAACCAATCTATATGTCATTGTATGCTAATCTGGGACAACACTTTTGTTTGTTTCGTCTTGGTTTTCTTCATTTTGATAGTTTGGATTTTCATTTGTTTTGCTTTGTTGTTTGTTTTTGTTTTGTTTTGCTTTTTGAGACAAGGTATAATGATGTAGCCTTAGCTAGCCTGAAACTCAAGAGATCTCTGTCTTCCTCTGCCTCACAAGTGCTGGAATTGTAGGTGTGTGCCACCACGCCCAGCTGCTTTGTTTTTTGGTTTGCTTTATAGATATAATTAGAGTCCAGGCTGACCTTGAGTTCATGATCCACTGCCTCAGTTTCCCAAATGCTGTGATTACAGGACTGCAACACCAGTCAGGTTTCATTCTCTGAGAGTCTCACTGTTGATTTATCTGATCCTCCCAACAGTACAAATTTTATCCTGTGTACCTCAGTTCCTAGGCACACAGCAAGTGTGTGCTATGTACCTGCTGATGAACCACTAATAGTGTGGCGGTTTGAATACGGATGTCCCTCATAGACTTATATATTTGAATGCTTGGTCTCCAGTTAGTGAGTTATTTAAGAAGGATTAGGAGGTGTGGCCTTGTTGAAGGAGGTGTGTCACTAGGGGTGGGCTTTGAGGCTTCAAAAACCCACACCAGGCCTAGTCTCTATCTCTGCCTATAATTTACAGATCAGATGTGAGCTCTCAGCTACTGCTCCAGCAACATGCTTGCCTGCCGCTGTGCTCCCTGTCCATGATCAGGGATTAAGCCTCTGAAACTGTAAGCAAGCCTTCAATTAAATGCTTTCATAAGTTGCCTTGATCATAGATCATGGTATCTATTCACAGCAATAAAACAGTAACCAAGACAAATAGTGAGTGTTCACAATGCACAAAGCACTAGTCTGTCACTTTACTGCACTAACTCATGATGAATCAGGTATGTTTAGCTCTTGCCCTGGAACAGTTATGCCCAACTAATCATATTTATACCAATTCTGATGAAATGATGTTAATAACAAAGGGAACTGAATCCTACGGATAGAAAATTCAATTTCACTTCTCAAGAGTTGGTTCTTAAGGTCAGATTTCTTTGAGACCCCTTTGCCCCCAGTACTCTATCACCTTCAGAAAAAAAGGAGGGAGTGGTTGTCTTATTGTTCCAATTTTTCTCCACCTCATCAGTTTCTCAAATAATGTGATACAAATAGCTTCTTAACCAGTAGTAATATGGTTCCATCTCTCCACTTCATAAGCTAATTTTCACCTCTTATAGTAAAATAGAGAATTTGAGACTTGAAAACACAGAGTTCCATCTTTCTCTTCTGATCCATACATACCTCATTCCCCTGGATTAGGGGAGGGTGTCACATCATTCACAGAAATCATTCCTGCCTCTTCTTTTACCAAAGGTACAAGGCCAAAGGTTAACTGAAGCCACAGTCACACAACACTCTAGGAAGATTTGGTGGAAACCTTCAGGGGCTGGCTACCCTCCCCAGCTCATATGTGTGTGAAAATGTTATTTAAAGAAGTTCGAGACTGAGAGCCTGGTTTTGAATACTGTAAATACTTACTTCAATAGGGATTCAAATACTGAAAACATGGAAGGACTAGTGCCACTTTTACAGTTCTTGAGATACTTGCTGCCACTATGTTACTCACAAAACTCCTTGATGCTGGGCGTGGTGGTGTACAGAAAGAGGCAGGCAGGTCACTGTGAGTTCCAAGACAAACAGGGCTACAGAGAAAGACCTTGTCTCAAAAAAAAAAAAAATTTCCCCTGATGAGAGAGTGGCATTTGACTTATCTTACTATAACATGTACCTTGTCAAAGACAGTAAGAGATGGGGGCAATATAGCTCTACCTCTTTGGATCCCCTAGAGACAATGAGCTATGCTACATATGGCAGCAAGAAAAGACCAAAAACTAAAGTCCTAAACAAAGCTTCCAAAGCCAGACATACTTGCCAAGAAGCAAAGAGCAGATTCCACCTCCACTGGCTGGCAGGCAGGCCCACACATTCTGCTTGGCCATGTGAAACAGCCGACTCCTGTTCTCCCCACCCCCAGGCCCACTTAGGATATTTGGGGTAGCAAGAGAATAGCAACACTGGTGACTTTTCTAGGAGATGTTGTATAAAAATAGAGCTTCCAATTTTAGGCCTAAAGTTGAAAAGAAAAATAGCCAGAATTAGAAGTTTGTTTTAACACAATACATTGAAAATTCCAAGTATTACAAGTTTAAGTGCTGGTAGCTGAGGAGGAGGTCACACCACCACAGCGCTCCTCAGTGAGTCAGCAAACAGTAAGACTTGTTTAACAGTGCATATCCACCAGTGACAGAATTAAGAAGTCTACCATGTGGGGTGATGGAAAACCAAACTGACACTCCTCCTGTGGTTGTCCACAGTGCCAGAGCTGACACAAATGAATCTCGGCAGCAACTTACAAGACAAAAAAGTTAATAAACCTTTTTTGAGGTTGGTCAAAGAAGAAATGTTTGAAACGACTCATTTTTCAGAAATTTGTCAGTGTAACGGGGGTAGGGGGTATCTTCTAAACTAATTTTCTAAACTTCACCAACCTTTTGATTTCTGGGTTTAATACCCATTCTTCATCAACACACCTTATGTCGAAGCAAAAGCCAAATGCCTGCTTTTACAGCAAGCTGGTAGCTCTTCAGGTATGAGAATCACTCTGGCAGAACTGGTGGAGAACAACAGAAGACCCAGAAAGACACCATCATGATAATAAAGGCCTCCCAAAGTTTTGTGGGCACCATAAATTACATAACAAATCCATTCTGTGAGGCAGCCAGGATTAACTCCCATTCATCTGGCCGGGTTGACTCAGTATTGCCAATGGGCTTATCAAATGGAAGGCTCATTATCCACTACAGCTGAGTGAAGGCACAGTGATTGGTCTCAGTGTGTAACAGCTTGCTGACATTAACTATTCAGCAAGAAAAATCAATCTTACAAGTTAAAAAAATATATATATCATTACTCCCCTCCCACCACAAGTTAGTTTTTCTGACTGAATTTTTAAGGATGTAATATGACATCTTACTATAACAGACGCATTATTTATGTCTATTACACGTGCAGAGATGGGTGCATTTTATATGATTTACTTCCATGGAATTCATGGCCCATGATGACAGTCAAACATAATCAGCCCAGCACTTAGGAGGCAGAGGCAGGCAGATCACTGTGAGTTCGAGGCCAGCCTGGTCTACATGGCAAGTTCCAGGACTATGCAGAGAGATCTTGTCTTTAAAAAACAAAAACGAAAACAAAAAACAAAAACAAAAAAAGAGGGGCTAGAGTGATGGCTCAGTGGTTAAGAGCACCAACTGCTCTACCAGAGGACCCAGGTTCAATTCCCAGCACCCCACATGGCAGCTAACAACTGTCTGTAACTCCAAGATCTGACACCCTCACACAGACATACATGCAGGTAAAACACCAATACACATAAAATAAAAATAAATAAATTGTTTAAAAAAAAAAAGATCATACCCAGTACATAGAAGAGAAAGGACGCTGCTATCTTGGTGACAGTGTCTTAGACTGCAAGCCCCAAGAAGGAAGAAGTGTGTGTAGTACATGAACAGAGCCATCCGACACCCAAGGATAGGTTCCTAAAGAATCCAACAGAGACTCTGAGGGAGCTGGAGAGGGGAAGGTGTAGGGGAGAGAAAACAAGAGAATACTTCATAGGAAGTATGTTCACACATGTGACATAAGAACACAAAAGAGGACTACTTGGGAGGAGACAGAGGATCAAGAGAAGGGGGTGAGGGAGGGAGGGCAGTTAAGAAGACAAATAAGCCGGGCGGTGGTGGCGCACGCCTTTAATCCCAGCACTCGGGAGGCAGAGGCAGGCGGATCTCTGTGAGTTCGAGGCCAGCCTGGTCTACAGCGCGAAATCCAGGAAAGGCGCAAAGCTACACAGAGAAACCCTGTCTCGAAAAAACCAAAAAAAAAAAAAAAAAAAAAAAAAAGAAGACAAATAAGAACAAGTGTAAAATGACATACATGGATGAAAATGCCATAATGAAACCCATTACTTCACATGCTAACTCAAAATTAAAAAGGACAGCAACTACAGAAAAAATGAAAAATAAGTACCTACTATGTATCTGGTGCACTGCACAATCTGTCTTCACGCTTGTGACTCTAGGTACTCTCCCAAACTGTCCACAAATACTTCCCTAAAGTTCTCTATGCACCAAGCACTGTGTGTCAAACATTTTACACACAGTAAACAATGTTATAACACTAACACTAGTACCTTGGGTTTTATTCTCACCACTTCACAGACTGAAGACTGAGATACAAATTCTAAGTAACTGGCCAAAGGACCTGTGTTTTACTGCTTCTCAAAAGTAAAAGTAACAAGCTGGGTATGGTGGCACCTGCCTTTAACCCTAGCAGAAGCAGGTAGATCTCTGTGTGTTCAGGACCAGCATAGTAAGTTACAGGGTAGCCTGAGCTACACAGTGTGAAACCCTGTCTTAAAAACAAAACAAAAACCTTCCAAACAAGAATTGTATTTTATTTGGGGTACCTAAGTCCCTAAACCTCTAAGGAGAGCTTGAAAGGGGGATAGCAGTTTTCAAACTTTAACTGCAAACTGCAGCAAGAAATGGATTCTGGGGGCTGAAGAGATAGCTCAGGGATTAAGAACACTGGCTGCTCTTCCAGAGGACCCAAGTTTGATTCCCAGCACCCACATGGTAGCTCACAGCTATCTATAACTCCAGTTCCAGAGGATTTTACAACCCTCTTCTGGCCTCCTTAGGTACAAGGAGCACCACACAGGCAAGTATTTATACACATACATATATACTCTATATTCTGACCTAATACACACATGTAAATACATGTGTAGCACAAAGATGCTTTCATGACACAATACTGACTGACTCTTGCTTCTGTGGTGTGCTCTGATTATTTCCTTTTCTAGTTTGTTTTCAAGTGTCTGTTATGACCCTCCAAGGAGAAATGACACACAGTTTGGAAAAATCTCAAGGCCAGGCTTGAAGCTTCCCTATGTGTTAGACATGTTAAGTAATTTCCAGTTGCCATACCATTTCATCTTCCCAGATACCCATAAATGGGGTGTGTCTGCTGTCTCTATCTCATAGGTGAGGAAATAAACTTAGAAATAAAGCAATTTGCCAAGTATGGTGGCACAGTCTTACAATCCGAGCACTTGGAAGACTAAGGCAGGACTTCAAGTTCCAGGTTACAGAGACTGCCTTAGAAGAAGAAGAAGAAGGAAGAAGAGGAGGAGGAGGAGAATAGGAGCAGAAACTACTTCATATAAGCCCCTATTGTGTGACAAGAACAGGGACAGTAACCAAATATTCCATTTGTTCCCCTGGTCCCCAGCTTCCTTTCACATAGGTAGAGAAAGACGTCTACTTTCTGGCCAGTAGCTTGTAAGCAGAAATGATGCAAGGAGGTTCAGACAGATGGGAGTCTTCAGGTCTAAGCAATGGATTGGTAAGTGTCACGGCTGCCATCTAATCATCTGCTGGGGTGAACCAAGGTAATAACCAAGACAACAGAGATAGTGCAGTACAAGCCAGTAGAATCTGCACCCCTGGTCTCTGTAGGGCTTCACCTGCAGATTACTATAGGATACACAAGCAGTAAATTTTGTCAGATTATGTCAAACTTCCTCAGTAAAGCTACAGTAAGTTCAGGCTTCTTGAGTGCAGTGCTCTCACATGGGCTTTACCTACTTCCAATCTCACACTGCACAGGAGTGATCACACACAAACACAGTGTAGACATTCAATGTACCTGCTTAAAATCATTTACCAGGGCTGGGGACATGGTTCAATGGTGTATAGTCCTCACCTTGCATGTGCAAGCCACTGGGTATAATCCCTAGTACTCCCCTCCCCAGATTATAGATCCTGTTCACTACAGACTCACATCTAAACTCAAGAAGGCACACAAGACTCTTCTGGACCTAAACTCAGCTTCTGTCATCCTCCTCTCCTCTTTTCATTTCAGTTGCTCGGGCATATTAATGTACTAAAGTATTCCCCAAGATGCCATGGCCTTACCTGTCTCTACAGCTTTACTTCACTGTTAGCATTGCTAGGAATGCCTCCCCCTTCCTGATCCTCTGGTCTTGTTTCTTCAGCCCTAGCTCAGATTTTCTTCTCACAGGATTCCTTGCTACTGACCCGCTGGCACTTGCTTTGATATTATTGAGTCTTTGGAACATTGATTTTTACAAACCGTCTAATTGTTACTGTGTCTGGTGTTTCTACCATGCTATAAGATCCTTGGAGAACAAGAACTACTGAATCTATTAGGAAAAATACCTGGCAACATACAAGCACCTTTCTCTTCCTGAAACCCCAAGGATTCAACCACTACAGAGCCTGTCAACTAGAACAGTGAGCTATATATAATTCCCTTGAACACAATGGGGAGAGAAAAACATTTTTGAGGCCAAGATTTTCTAGCTTACAAGATTGGTTTGGAGTTTCAGAAGTCCCCTATGAATGATACACATTCCATCTGGGAAAGTCAGTCCCTTGCTCATATATTTCTAACTGGAAAACTACAAAATCTGTTTCTTCTTAAGGAGAAATTATCTTGCATCTGTTTGGAAACCTTAAGCACTGTTAGAGTCTTATTTTGTTAAACTGCTGTGGCATCAAAATCTCTTCTATTTACTCAGATTTTGACAAGTACTAAATGCAGGGTCCTTTTAAATTTGTATGGAGCCAAGTATTGTATGCAAATAGTAAATATGCAAATAAGAAGAGGAGGGGCTTAGGATGAGTTACTTACTGGTGGGGGGCACTAAACGAGACATTTCCTTACAAATGGGGAAAAGGCAACTGGAAAGGTTTTCACCTGTTGCATAACTTTATTAGCATTTTCTGCTGGGTCAGGCAGTGACGGAGCGCTGGATACTTCAAAAACAAATTCTCTGATAAATTAAGCAACTCCTATTTCTTGGCTAAGGAATAGTTCAAAGTGACAGTTAAGTCTCCAATTAATGTTTTTGTCTGATTTGAAACTGCCACAAAAGTTCAAGTTTCCAAAATCTTGAAAAGACTTATTTTTAACTCATTTATTGACTTTGCGGTGGTCAGAGGACAACTTCTGGAGTTGCTTCTCTCCTTCTACCACAAGCAGGCAAGTGCCTTTACCCACTTAGCCATCTCAGTAAGCCCCAAGCTTTCTTTCAGAATGAAAAGATTCTGGATGAAGTGAGAAGACCATAGTAAATGGTGCTGGAAATCAAGACATATTGATCCAATGACAACTTCCCCAAGAACAGAAGAAAATGAACAAGTGTCTCTAGCCTCGAAAAGTCTTGCTGTAGAGCAAAGGCAACCACTACAACTCCCCTGCATCCTCTCTCAGATTTATCCAGGCTCACCAGCTGTCACCTCTATATAATGACTGCCTAGAGAATATAGCCTATTTCAGACATGCAATCTCTACCCTCAAAAGGTGGTCTTGGGATTTTTACATCCAAGAAAAAGGGCACATTGCCTGATTTGGAATCCAAGAAAATTAAAATTTGCTCAAAGGATACTTGCTTAGAGTAGATCTTAGTTGAAATTGAGATTTTTTTTTTTTTTTTTTTGGTTTTTTTCGAGACAGGGTTTCTCTGTGTAGCTTTGCGCCTCACTTGGTAGCCCAGGCTGGCCTCGAACTCACAGAGATCCGCCTGGCTCTGCCTCCCGAGTGCTGGGATTAAAGGCGTGCGCCACCACGGCCCGGCGAAATTGAGATTTTTTAATCCCCCAAAAAACTATAGCCTGGAGCCTTTTCCCTTTTCTGGCCTGCCTTAATACAAGTCATAACCTTTCAGGAGACAGAACAGTATGAATGACAAAATCAAAATTATATGAAAATGGACACAGAGCACTAGATCTCACCTCAGTTGGGAAACACCTGAGTTTCTCATTATGAAATCACACAGAGGGCTGGGGACACAGCTCAGTGGTAGGGTTCTTGTGTGACAACTTAGCTGTTACGTGCATGTGATAACTAATCTTGCTTGTCAACTTGAAAAACCTGGAAGAAGAAAGCTCAATTGAGGAATTGCCTCTATCAAATTGACCTGTGGCATTTTCTTGATTACTAGTTCATGTGGGAGGGCCCAGCTCACTAGGGGTGGTGCCACTCTTGGGCAAGTTGGCCTGGTCTGTACAAGAAAGGTAACTGAGCAAGCCAGTACACGTCGTTTCTCCAGGGGTTCCTGCCTTGGCTTCCCTAGATGTCAGACATAAAGTGTAAGATTAAATAAGCCCTTTCCTCCTCAAATTGGTTATGGTCAGTGCTTAATTACAGCAACAGAAAGCAAACTAGGCCATACCCTTGCTGTCAAGCCTGAGTTTGACAGAACTCACATGGTAGGAAAAGACAACTGATTCCCACAAATTGTCCTGACTTTAACATACTTTGGCACATGAATACACCACACACACACACACACACACACACACACACACACACACACACACACCCCAAACTAATAAAATGTAAACTTTTTTAAAAGAACAAGATCATTTGCAAAATACCAACCAACCACCAAAGGCAGCTAATAAAAGATAATAGTGTTAAATCATCAGGAAAAAGTCAAGGGACTATGGGTAATTGAGGCTTTAAAGCAACAAGCAAAACACAAGGAACACAGACTACATGTGGATGCAGCTTTCTCAGCTTCTATTGTTTCACAGAAATTTGAGCTTTATATAGGGGTTTTCCTGGGGTAAGGGACAGCACCTCTCACAACAGGCTATGATTTCCATCACTACTTCCCTGCCTCTCAAGATCTGTGTGGAATTATGAGAACAAGTAAGGTAGGGCTTTAACACTGTTTCGGCGTTTGACTTGATTTTAGGGCACAAGTTACGGTGTCCCTTTAATGCAGTCACCACCAACAAGTAATGTACAGGTCACCTCTTAAAAGAGGCTGAGTCTAGACTTCCAAAACCTTAAATCTGGCTGCCAGATCCATGGTCAGGCTTTTTCTCCTTCCCCAGGTCCTAAACTTACACCTTAGGGAGTCAAAACATCAGAGGGACTGAGCAATCCTGAGAGTGGGGGACCTGCTAAAAGTGAGGAGAAAATAACAATATTCACTGTTTCATTGTTTAAAAAATAAAGGTACCACTTACTAACATCTGTGATATTTAAAATTCTACACAATGCACCCATGGGATTTGGGCAATATCTTTATTTTAAATTCTACACAATCTATCTATGGGTATTTCTGTCAGATTTGTCAGTCTGCTTGAGTCAGACAAATTTTTAAATCTGCACAAACTTGGACCTGCCAATTCCACAAAGACACCATGACGTAAGGTATGGCTCTGCACTACACTTACTCAGTCTCTGAAGTTACAAGGCAGCCATTCCTATCCCACCCTTATTCTTTTATATGCCCATTTACCAATGACCACCTGGTATTTTTCTTAAAAGCTTTAAAAAAAAATTAGACCTACTGGGCACAGTAGTGCAATTGAGAGACAGAGCAAGTAGATCTCTGTGAATTTGAAGCCAGGCTGGTCTATCTATATAGTGAGTTCCAAGCCAGCCAAAATATGCCTTCTATTATTCCACAGAAATTCGAGCTTTATTTGATGGTTTTATTGGGGTTGTGGCATAGCACCTCTGTGTCTTAAAGGGGGGGGGGGCATTTTTGACCATTCTTAGTACCATATAGTCACAGGTGTGACATGTTAGTTCCATTTTCATACTACACATTAAAAAGTAGAACTGAAAGCATTCACCATGTACTCCCCAGAATCATCAACAGTACATGTACATATACATACGACCAGGGCCGTGGAGATGGACTCAGCAGAGAAGGTGCTTGCCTCCAAGCCCAGTGATCAGAGTTCAATCCCTGTAACTCCGAAGGGTGGGAAGGGACAACCAGTTTCCTCAAGCTGTCTTCTGACCTTCACACATGTACCCTGCCCTGAACACACACAAAAACTATTTTAAAAAAACATTTTAACTAAAAAAAAGCATAGCCAAAGCTATACTTAAAAACCAGTAAATTGCCGGGCGGTGGTGGTACACGCCTTTAATCCCAGCACTCGGGAGGCAGAGCCAGGCGGATCTCTGTGAGTTCGAGGCCAGCCTGGGTTACCAAGTGAGTTCCAGGAAAAGGAGCAAAGCTACACAGAAAAACCCTGTCTCGGAAAAAAAAAAAAACAAAAAACAGTAAATTAGGGCCGGGCGGTGGTGGCGCACGCCTTTAATCCCAGCACTTGGGAGGCAGAGGCAAGCGGATCTTTGTGAGTTCAAGGCCAGCCTGGTCTACAGAGCGAGATCCAGGAAAGGCGCAAAGCTACACAGAGAAACCCTGTCTCGAAAAAACAAAAAAACAAAAAAACAGTAAATTAATCCTAATCCTTTGCATCCCAGTTAAAAAAAAGCACAGAGGGGATGTGACTGCATAAAGACACAGCAACTAGTAGCAGAGTACAGACAGAGCAAAGGACACTCTGTACATCAGTGGTCTCCTAGAACAGACTCTCCAGGAGTTTTAGGGACCTGGACTCAGTTCACCAGCAAATGAGCCTGAAGCAGGCCTGGGCTTTTCACTTTTCCCTACAAACAACAGGCACAACATGGTACTTAGCAGCTGATCTTCTTAGATAATCTGGACTGGCTAAAACAAATCTGTTTCCATCCAAAGTCTCAAGAAGGCTTGTCCAACTCACTGAACTTCAAGGCATATGGCCAAAGATAAAAATGTCTCCTGGATCAGCGTCCCAATTTTAGACCCAACAGTATCTTCAACCTTTATCCCCACTGCTAGACTCACACAGGCTCTATAGCAATGGTTTTCAACCCATGGGTTGAGGCCCCTTTGCAGGGAGTTGGGGGGTGGGGTGGAGGGGAGTGTCAAATGACCCTTTCACAGGGGTCACCTAAAACTATCCTGCATATCAGATATTTACATTATTATTATTCATAACAGTAGCAAAATTACAGTTACAAAGTAGCAAGGAAAACAATTTTATGGTTGGGGGCCACCACAACATGAGGAACAATATTAAAGGGTCTCATCATTAGGAAGGTTGAGAAGCACTGCTCTATAGGATTTCAGGGGAAGATTTTCCATATCTAATTTTTAGAACAGCTTTGGAAACAATTTGGAAGTTTCCATTAGAGTCACTCATGTATTTATTTCCCAGATACCCTGAGGACAGGTTTTATTTTCAAGTGATAGATAACTGTAGACCTAGCAATGCTTTATATACTCTATTATAGGAGGTAGAATAATATAGCCCCTTCTTAGGAACTGCAATCCAGGTAAGCAGGTAAGATTAGCTACATATGCCATATAGTAATAATAATAATAATAATAATAATAATAATAATAATAATAATAATAAAGCTTTTTATATGACACATGTATCATGTTATTCTAACGCACTAACAATCATTACAACTATTTACTGTGATGAATTTCACTTGACACATAATAGACCTGAGTCTTAGAGATGTGGCTCACCCAAATTCCAAGTGACTAGTAAAGTTTAGACTTACAACCAGAGTGCTACCTCTAGATTTGTGCTTTTAACCAATGATTATGTATATCCAAACATTTTTCTTATTAAAAAGTAACATGGAACACATGCCTTTAATCCTATCACGTGGGAAGGAGAGGCAGGTGGATCTCTGAGTTCAAGGCTATTCTCGTCTAAATAGTAAGCTCCAGGCAACCCAGGACTATATAGTGAGACTCTGTCTCAAATACATAAATAAATAAACAAATAAATGTAATTGAGAGTAAGATGAAGGCTGTACCAGCAAGTCACCTTGTTTCTGACATTGGGAGGTCTAGCATTAGCATCTGTGAAGTTCAGGAATATAGCACACTCTAGGAATGCTTTTCATACTATACTGAGTCTGCTTCTTATAACCCCAAACAAGGAATAGCTAGCATTACTCCAGAATTACTTAGCCTACAAAATGGGAGATCAAAGCCAGGTATGCTGGATCGTATCTGTAATCCCAGCACTGGGGAGGATGAAGCAGGAAGATTGTTCTGTATTTGAGGTTGGACAGCCTGGACTACATAGAGAGTCTCAGGCTAGCCTGAGATAGTTTGAAATTCTGTTTCAGAAAACAAGAAAAACACACAAATGGATAATTAAAGTGGAATAAATAATAATAATAATAATGATAATAATAATAATAATAATAATAATAATAATAATAATAATAAATGGCTATCTCTGGTTTCTTCCAGTTTTTCAAACCCTTGAAATTTCCTGACATAGCTTTCATTATGGGGGGAAAGACACCTTGGATCACACCTGAATTTACAGGGTGATTTTAAGGTAGACCCTCAGAGGTTTCAAGGGAGGACTAGTCAAGCCAGGAAAACAAGCATGAAATCTCATTTTAGGTCCTATTTTCTCAGAGATAGGCAGTGGGAAACAAGAATTCAACCACCAAGAGCCAATAACCACGCGTATATAATGAAATCTCAAAACCCAGAAATATCTCTGACCATGCCCAGCTAGGAAACACACACACAAACACACCACCACCAACAACAGCAACAGCAGCAGCAGCAGCAGCGACAAGTAGGAAGCACAATCAATCAATGAGGACTGAGAATTTTCAAGTTGGTGAGCACAGACACTTGCTGGAAGGCTGGTGTGACTGGTCTGCCTGGATCCCAAGGAATTAGAATTCCCCTAGGAATCTTAAAGGGGGTAATATCTGAAGGTCCAAGGGCAGCCAGAGGGAAAACTTTGAGGCAAAAAAGAAACTTGTTCTAGGGAAGATTACAACCCTTCATTTGACTAGAGTGTGAAAACAGTGAGGAGGGGACCACAACTTGTTTAGTTATGCATATCACTGGCCTTCTTTTTAATTAAAGTTTACCCTCAAATCAGGACCAATTGAATGGGGGTTGCAGGAGGGCGGGTAGTGTGAGGTTGCTGGATCTTTTTCACTCTCTCAAATGTGGCTACACTGAATAAATATCCTGTTTGTTTGTTTGTGTATTTCATTT